TAATATACTGTGGAAAAAGAATTAACAATCAATAAAGACCACAGGAAAAAAAAGTATTTAATTTTCAAAGGATACCCTAAGGTTATATCATGTAACACGAAAATATTGTTAACAACTATATTTAGAAAATATTTCCACATGTAGGAAATTTAGATTAGAGGTCAAAATATTTCCTTTCTAAATTCTCAGTTAAATTTAACCCTACTTAACTATCATATAAAAAATAATTAAAAATAAAAATTTTTTTAAAAAGAAAAATAAATCTTCCCATATGTACCTCAAAACACTTAAAAAAAAATTTAACCTTGAGACAACTGACCTAATCATACCACCACTCACAGTTGATTTTGGGTGCAAGTTAGAAAGTTACTTGTGGAAATACTATGGATTAGCTCAATTCTAATCCTAACTGCTTTGCCATTTTATCTTTAACCTTAAATTCCTTCATCTCTAAAATAATGAAAATAGCAACCTATTTTAAAAACCATTTTTCACTTAATCCTGATTATAAGGATAAAACGCAAAAGCAGCAAAACAAAAATATCACTGATTGAAGTTTATAATATTTAAAGCCAGCAAAATCTCCACCATCACTTTGTTTGATGTTCTGTAAGGTAAGTAGTGAATTCTAAAAGCTACATACACTACCGTTATAAATGTGCTAAGAATCTTGAGGATTGATTAACTCAAATATTTCTTGCATAAAATATTTATTGTTCATATCTTTAAATTCTCTAAAAGGAAATCATTCACAGACCACCAGTCTAGGTAAGTACTCAATTATCATTTTCTCTATGGATTTAACAGACTATCAACTTAGATAACGAAAACCAACAGAACTATATGAATGCTCAAATCAGAACTCTGAAAGTCATCCCTCATTTCCCAAATCTAATCCATTATCTGCTCATTCTACCTCAAGAACTATGTCTCAGATATGTCCGCTTCTCTCTACTGTCCTAATTAGTTGTCCTAATACCAGCCACCATCACATAACATGAAGGGCCAGGCTGAGTGGCTCATCCTTGTAATCCCAGCACTTAAGGAGACTGTGAGGTAGGAGGATAGCTTGAGGCCAGGAGTTTGAGACCAGTCTAGGCAACCTAGCAAGATCCTCTCCCAACAAAAAATAAAACTAGTCAGATGTAATGGTGTACTCCTGTAGTCCTAGCTACTCAGGAGACTAAGCCTTGAGCCCAGGAGTTCCAGCGTGCATGATGGAGCAAGATCTTTATCTCTTAAAAATAAATAAGTAAAAATACCACAAGGACCAGGGCTGAAGCTTCCAAATTGTCTCATTCCAAACCACTCTCCAAACAATAACCAAAATGATCATTATAAAATATAAACTGCCCTGCTTAAAAGTCTTTAATGGCTTTCCCCTATCCTAGGAATGAAAATCAACTCTTGCATGGTCTATCACTTACCATTTCTCTAAGCTGTTTTCAAGTCATACTCACCCCTACCCATTGTATTCCAACCACACTCGTCTCTCTCACCTCTTTCACCTTAGGGGTATCCTCTGTTCTCTCCAGACTGGACTACTCATTCCTGACTCTCAAAGAGCTGCTTCTTCCTAGCCCTTCAGTTTTCAGCTCCTCAAAGAGGCTTTCCTCTATCATCCAGTGCACAAATGACCCCTCTCAATCCCAGGTTACTTTATCTCATTGTTTCCTGTTCCTTACACTCAGAGCCCTTATCATGAATGACAGTTATATCTTTTGGGAGGGGGGAAGACAGGGTTACTTGTTCAATGTCTGTTTCCCTCTCAGGACTGTAGCCTCCCTTGAGGGCATGTCCCTATCTGTTTTTTCAGGGCGGTTTTCCTGGTGCCTAGAACAGGGCCTGCCACATGGAAATACTCATAAATATTTACAAAAGAATGAGAATGCCATCATTAGAAAATGCTGGAGAGTGCTTTTCTAAAAAAATAACTAAGAAATTATGGCCATAGCAAAGGTGAATAAAGGGACTATATGAGATTTTGTCATGATTTTATCACTGGAAAGTACCCATTCAGAGGAGCAAGGCAAAATTGAAGAACGTGCTAGCCACGAGTGCCAGTAAGTCTTAACAATGTCTGAATACAATGATTTTAAAATGATTTGCACAAAAATAGAGGTTTTTATCATTTGAAATGGGATTATGTGGCTACATATAGCATATATTAATCCATCTATAAAAGTCTATCTGCCTAATTGTGCAGCATTTTTAAGACCAATGAGAATCAATACTATTCTTGTCCTGGAATTGTTTTCCATACTCTTTAGGCCTTCCTTATATAGATCCTGATCTGGGACTCTTCTACCTTTTTTGCACCTCTTTTAAACTTAGTACCAGGCATAAATGAGGATTGTAAATAAATTGGTGCTTGTTGATTAACTAAAAAAATAAACAAAATCACTCAGAAATAAATAAAGATTTTTTTTTTAGTACATATACCGTGTTTCCCCGGAAATAAGACCTACCCAAAAAACAAGCCCTAGAAGGATTTCTATGCATTTGTTAAATATAAGCCCTACCCCAATAATAAGACCTAGTGATGGGCGTGGCTGATGCAGCATATCTGCATAGCCACCCCATGCATTTTGGCGAGGAGAGGAAGACATCCCCTGAAAATAAGCCCTAGTATGTCTTCTTGAGAAAAAATAAATATAAGATTGTGTCTTGGCTCGGCGCCTGTGGCTCAAGCGACTAAGGCGCCAGCCACATACACCTAAGGTGGAGGGTTCAAATCCAGCCCGGACCCACCAAACAACAATAATGGCTGCAACCAAAAAATAGCCAGGCATTGTGGCGGGCGCCTGTGGTCCCAGCTACTTGGGAGGCTGAGGCAGGAAACTCGCTTGAGCCCAGGAGTTGGAGGTTGCTGTGAGCAGTGAAGCCATGGCACTCTACCCAGGGGGACAGCTTGAGGCTCTGTCTCAAAAAAAAAAAAGATTGTGTCTTGTTTTCAGGGAAACATGGTATATGTTCATTAGAATACACTTCCTTTGTATCCATTTATTCAGTTATTCTTCTCCAATTACTTTCAAAGTTTATTAAAACCATATCTTCTATAATTCAGGCATACCTTATAGTTTTGGATGATACAAACTAGAATGTACACAAATAATTCTTTGTATAAATATGCTATATATATATATGATTGTACAATATTTTTACACATTCCCATGAAATTAACTTTTGGAGGGAGTTGCTACTTAATTGCCCTTACTGTGAACCCACCAACAAAGGGGTTTTTGCAAAATAACTTAGAGACCTCTAAAGACCACTACTCTCTTTCATCTTTTATTCTTGCATTGTGAAACTCTGAACATACAATATGCTTTCTGTGGACCAGATTCAGCCTGCTCCACACAGAGTATACAGCATGCTCAATATGTTTAGCTTTAAATATAATTGCTTACTTACATCAATTCCATAGGCAAGAGGACCTAAAGCCCTGTCCCCTTCTACTGTTGTTTAACTGGCACTTAATATCATCAAAAATTGATGTGAAAATAAATCTACTATGTATAGGCTAAATTACTTTGAAATTATGATATAATTCTGAGAAAAATACATTAGGAAAAGGCTTGATTTACTTTTGAATCATATGCAATGCCAAAATAAGTATCATCTCAATTTACCAATGTAACCAGTAAAAAAAAATTCTCATTGTCTGCCAAGAAATGCAAGTATCTTATGAAAATAATATGATATGTCCCTGATCTAAATTACTATAAGTACACATACAACTATGTTGTATGCTATATACGCCTTAAAATAAAGCCCAAGGACAGACTAATAATTACAGTATTTTAATCACATATAAATTAATAATAAATTATGAAAAAAGTTATAGTCAAATGGAAAACAAAAGCAAAATATACAAAACTCACTATTAGCAAACACAATCCCCATTAGTATGTAACTTCCATAACCCCGTTAGTAGTTAAGCTCATGGAGGATACATAGATTGGTGTCTGTTTTGTTCATTCAAGCTCTTTTTTTTTAAATTTCAGATTAATATGAGGGTAATCTAATATGATCAGGTTATAATATTTGCTTTTGTTAGGTAAGGTCTCTGTTGTAGCTGTGTCCATCACCCAGGAGGTGTGCCATATACCCTTACACTGTACCCATTAGGTAAGAGCACACCAATTCTCCTTCCTCCTCCCCTCTCCCCCCAGTTTGAATTAAATTGAGTTTTTCTCTTGTGTGAGCACAGAATAGCTTGTCTACTGCCTTCATATTAGTATTGAATACATTGGATACTTGCTTTTCCATTCTTGTGATACTTTATTAAAGAGAATATTCTCCAACTCTATCCAAGTTACTACAAAAGATGTAAAGTCTCCACCTTTTTTATGGCTGTCATTCAAGTTCTTATATAGAACAGTACCTTGCATACTTTGCACATAGGTGCAAATAAATAATAAATATTAACATTGTAATTAATCTTAAGTATTAAATAGTCAGAAGAATGTAATAGATCAGTTATTCTTGTTTATAGCAAAAAAATTCTGAAGAAATTTAGAAAGCAATAAAATATAAAACTAAAATTGTGATGGCCATAATTGAATCTTTATTTAAGGATTCTACATAAGTTATTATAGGATCATCATTAGGAATATCAGTTAAATTATATTACCAAAACTATTAATATAGATCTAATCCAATAGAACAGCAAATAAGATACCTATGATTATATAAGAATAATTAAAAGAGGTTTTACTAAACTACTAAAAGCATACTTAATTAAAATCTCTACTGGGAAAATGACTAAAGGAAACTTCTAAATCTTCTTTAAGATCTGGATTTCTCCATTTTCATCAGCAAATTTCCCTAAATATTTTCATCATAATTTAAAATATAATGCACATAATAATACATCTTCCACTCAATTTTTAGGTACAAAAGATCAACCATCAAAGCTCCAAAGTATTCTCTCAGCAATGACAACATTAATGTGGGAAAAAAATGAGAAATTCAAATCTTATTTCATACCAACTTACTCTGACTTTTGGCAAGACTCTCCGAAGTGTCTCAGCAGGATTCTGTCGCATCAAACATGGAAGATTTGCGATCACACTCGTTCCTTGCACGTCTTGACCAGCACTTACAAAGAAAACAAAATTTAAAATTTGCAGTTATAAACTCAATTCCTGGTCCACAGTTATAAAAAGCATGTATTAATATGAAAATGACTGTTTTGAAAGATAAGCACTCATACTTCTGACAAAGTTTTAAACTTGAAACACATCATTTAGATATAAAAATAAAATCAGAACTGAAATATCTCTAAATGAATCCTATAACAAATACATAAAGATATTAATTATACTTGTGCTATTTATACATGTCTTCTGAAACTCTATGTACATGTCTTTCTAAAAGTCTATTTAAAACTTTTTTTTTTTTTGAGATAGAGTCTTACTCAGTCACCCTGGCTAGTTTTTCTATTTTTTGTAGGGCCAGAGTCTCAGGGTCTTGGCTCATGCTCAGGTTGATCTTGAACTCCTGAGCTCAGGCTATCCACTCGCCTTGGTCTCCCAGAGTGCTAGAATTACAGGCATGAGCTACCACACCCAGATAAATACATATTTTAAAATTCTACCTCATTTTCTGCCTACAAATTTGCTGTACTTTATAAATGATAAAATTTTATTCTGGTAAAATATTAATATTCAAAGCAACAGGGAGAGCAATAAAATCAACTACAGAAAACTTATACAACTTCCTTTTGGTATAATGAAATTACTTGTTGGACTAGACTAACTCCATGAATTACCAGAAACTTCTTAGAGATATACTCAGTACTCTAAAAATCAATAGGGTATATTTATACAATACCTTTTTAGTGTAAAATTCATTAATCTATGATCAAAATAATTTCAGAAGCATTGTGAGTAGCCTAAATACTTAAAAAAGAGTATTGAGATTCTTCTGAACCATTTCTATAAACTGCAAAAAGGTTTTGTTCTTAAAATATAACCTAAGTGACATAAATTCTGCAAGTACTTGAAATATATACACATATCAAAGAGTCTAGTAAATATGGCATCTTCAGAGTGAAATTCTATATATTCTTATCTGACACCAATTTAAATATGAATTGCTGATGTCATAAATATATATTTATTTACTTAAAATTATTTTTACTTATCTCTTGAAATAGATTTATAGTTATAAATCTATTTCGCCCTAGCTAAATCCTTTAAGAGACAATATCAAGAAGGAATAAAGAAGAGTAAAAAATAGGGAACCCATGGCAAGATGAACAGAGGATGAAAAAGGGGGAAATAACGTTGCATATAAAAATGCCACTTGTAAAAGACTGAATGATGGCCTCCTAAAAGATATGTTTACATCTTAATCCTGGAACCCAGCTTGGCACCTGTAGCTCAAGCAGCTAAGGCACCAGCCACATACACCAGAGATGGCGGGTTGGAATCCACCCTGGGCCTGCCAAACAACAATGACAACTACAACCAAAACATAGCTGGGCATTGTGGTGGGTGTCTGTAGTCCCAGCTACTTGGAAGGCCGAGGCAAGAGAATCACTTAAACCCAGGAGTTGTAGATTGCTGTGAGCTGTGACACCACGGCACTCTACCCAGGGTGACAAGCTTGAGGCTCTGTCTCAAAAAAAATTTGGAACCTGTGAATGTTGTCTTAATTTTTAAAAGGATTTTGAGATGAAGCAGTTATCCTGGATTATCTGAGTAGACCCTAAATCCAAAAATAATTGTCATTAAAAGAAACATTCGTAGAAGACAACAAAATAGGATGATGTAATTTGACCACAGAAACTGGAGTGATACAGCCACAATGAGGTCTTGCTGGCAACCATCAAAAGATAAAAGAGGCAAGAAAAAAATTCTCCCCTAGATCCCTACTAACACCTTGAGTTTAGTCTTCTACTCTCCAGAACTGTGCCAGAATAAATTTCTAGAGTTTTAAGCCATCCAATTTCTGGTAATTTTTTACAGTGGTTACAGGAAATAAATATACTACCAAAGAACTGAAAAAGAGAATAATCTGAAAAAATGATGTTTAATATGGTAATATGTGGCCCAGCATAGAGGTTCTGTAAGTATCTCTTGAAAGGAGAGATGAATAGATGACAAGCTGAATGAATGATGTCAGAAATATTTAATATTGAACATTCAGTGAATTTTATTAACTAACTTGCAATTAGTGGAAAAAAGAACATAACATCTAATACCTCATAGATAAAAAGACAAAACATTTCACAGGAAGCAAGAAAAAGAAAATAAACAAAAAAGAGAACAAACAGAAACAAAAAATAAAATATCAGACTTTAGCCCTAAAACATCAACAATTACATAAAATATAAACAGTCTAAATACAAAAATTAAAAGGAAAGGATTGGTAGAGTGGACTAAAAGACATGACTCAACTATATGCAGGCACACCTCCTTGGTAAAGGATTCAACTACAACTTGGGCTTTACCTAACAAATGCAAACAATGTAACCTAATCGTTTGTACTCTCATATTAATCTTAAATGTTAAAAAAAGAAAAAGAATTTTAACAGATATACAAAGACAGTATAAGTGGCTATATTAATATCAGATACAGTAAACCTCATGGAAAAAAATCACCAGAGACAATAAGGACATTCTAAAGTGCTAAAAGTAGCACTACTCTAAAAGACATAGCAATTCTCAATGTGTACATACCAAAAAGGACTGTAAAATATGTGAAGCAAAAACTGATAGACTTGAAAGGAGAAATATGTGCATAGATACATACACACGTGCAAGCAGAAATTTCAACATACCTCTCTCAACAACTGATAGAACAGAAAATCAGCAAAAATACAGAAGAATTCAACAGTCCCACCAATCAAGATCTATTAGACCAGCAGTTCTCAACCTGTGGGTGGCTGCCCCTTTGTAACAATGAAAATACATCCTGCATATCAGATATTTACATTATAATTCATAACAGAAGCAAAGTTACAGTTATGAAGTAGCAATGAAAAAAAATTTATGGTTGGGGGTCACCACGACATGAGGAACTGTATCAAAGGGTCATGGCATTAGGAGGCTTCAGGAAGGTTGAGAACCACTGTATTAGACATTTATATAACACACCACCAAACCACAACAGAATACACATTCCAACCAACTACTCAAGAAGATATATCAAGATGAGATCACATCCTGGACCATAAAACAAACCTCAAAAAATTGTTAAAAAACTGAAACAATATAAAGAGTTTTGTCTGACCAAAATGGAATCAAATTAGAAATAATAGGTAGAAAAAGCCCTAAACTCTGGAAACTAAACAGCATACTTCTACATAGTCCATAGGTTAAAGAGGAACTCTCAAGGAAAATTAAAAAATACATTGAACTAAAATGTAAATGAACAAACAACATTATCAACATTTCTGAGACACAACTAAAGCAGTGCAAAGTGAGAAATGTATAGCACTAAACAGATACATTAGAAAAGAGGGAAAATCTCAAATCAAAGAAAGGAAATAATAAAGAGCAGAAATTAACAAAAATAAAAACAAAAAACAACATAGAAAAGGGAAGAAATAAAGACCTAGTTCCTTTGAAAGATCAATAAAATCACTTAACCTCTAATAAGAATGACAGACAAAAAACAAGACACAAATTACCAACATCAGTATTGAAACACTAGAGAGCACTATAGACATCAAAGGAATAATAACTGAGTGCTACAGCTAATTCTATACATGTAACTCAGACAACTTAGACAAAATGGACTGATTCCTCAAAATATATAAACCAGCCACAACTCACCCAACATAAAATAGATAATCTGAATAGTCCTACAACCATTAACAAAATTGAATTCATGTTTTCAAATTCCTGAAGAAAATCTCCATGCCCAGATGGTTTCACTGGAAAATTCTGCCAAATATTTAATAAAGAGTTAACATCATTCTAAACAATTTCTCCCAGAAAAGAGAAGCTTCATTAGATGAAGCTCAAAATTGCTATAATCCATTATATTAACAGGGTAAAGAAGAAAAAAATCACATGATCATATCAATTCAGAAAGAACATTTGGGGTGGTGCCTATGGCTCAGTGAGTAGGGCACTGGCCTCACATACTGAGGGTGGTGAGTTTGCACCTGGCCCTGGCCAAACTGCAACAACAACAACAACAAAAAGCCAAACAGAAAGAACATTTGACAAAATTCAACACATAGATGCTGAAATTAAAAATTCAGTATCATTTATAATCACAAAAAAACATAAAATATTAACAAAATACATACAGGATTTGTATTCTGAAAATTACACAATATTGTCACAAGATATCCAAAGAGAGCTAAACAATTAAAGAGACATTCTATGCTGATACACTGATAAATTTGGCACAATAAATATGTCAATTCTCCCTCAAATTCATATACAGGTTTAACACAATTCCTAAGCAAATACAAAGTAAAATAGGTATCACTACACATTTATTAGAATGGCGAAAAGAAAAATAACAACAATACCGAAAGCAAAGAAACAAGATCACTCTTTCATTGCTAGTGAGATCACTCTTAAAAAGTGATATATACAAACACACCCAGACCAAAAAAAAAAAAAAAAAAAAAGTCATATAAAGAGTTTTGTCTGACCAAAATTGAATCAAAGTAGAAATAATAGGTAGAAAAATCCCTAAACTCTAGAAACTAAACAACATACTTCTACATAGTTGAAGTATTCTTTGGGAATAGCCACACTGGAAAATAGTTTGGCAGCTTCTTTCAAAACTAAACATAACACCATGCAACCCAGGAGATAAACTCTTAGACATTTATCTCAAAGAAATGAAAACCTATGTTCACACAAAAACCTGTGGATGAATGTTCATTGAAAACCTGTAGATAAATCTTTTTAACAGCTCTATTTGAACAACAACAATAAAAATAAAATGGAACAACAATAAAATGGAAAACAATGATATGTCCTTAAATGAGTGAATGGTTAGACAAACTGTGGTATATCCATACCAAGAAATATTACTCAGCAAGAAAAAGGAACAAACTACTGATATGTATAACAACCAAATTAATTTCCAAAAAATTATGCTAAGTGAAAAATAAATCAATCACA